TTTGTCCCGAGCCGATGTGGACAGGTCACGTGACAGGGACAACAGACGGCAGAATTTGAACAACAGGACGTCCTGTTTGGCCTGTGTGAATCCCACCCAGCAGACATGGGTGACTGCAGTACACACTACTGCAGTACTGGTCACTGCTGATGTAATCGGTCACGGCAGGAGTCGACTGTTGATGAATTAACGGCGCAGTGTTTAACTAAATGAAACATATGGAGAGAGTGAAGTGGAGCTGCAGCAGCAGCAGCAGCAGCAGCAGCAGTCACAGCAGCAGCAGCAGCAGCAGCAGCAGCAACAGTCACAGCAACAGTCACAGCAGCAGCAGCAGCAGTAACAGCAGCAGCAGCCGCACCACCCACAGCAGCAGCAGCAGCAGCAGCAGTAACAGCAGCAGCAGCAGCAACAGTCACAGCAGCAGCAGCGGCAGCAGCAGCAGCAGCAGCAGCAACAGTCACAGCAACAGTCACAGCAGCAGCAGCAGCAGCAGCAACAGTCACAGCAACAGTCACAGCAGCAGCAGCGGCAGCAGCAGCAGCAGCAGCAGCAACAGCAGCAGCAGCCCACGGCCTCCATTCGTCATCCATGTCTGTTTCTACAGCAGCAGCAGCAACAGTCACAGCAGCAGCAGCAGCAGCAGCAGTCACAGCAGCAACAGCAGCAGCAGCAGCAGTAACAGCAGCAGCAGCCGCACCACCCACAGCAGCAGCAGCAGCAGCAGCAGTCACAGCAGCAGCAGCAGCAGCAGCAGTCACAGCAGCAGCAGCAGCAGCAGCAACAGCAGCAGCAGCCCACGGCCTCCATTCGTCATCCATGTCTGTTTCTACAGCAGCACGTCTGGCTTCAATTCTCCAGACAAACACAAACTGTAGTTGGACTCCATTAAAGTATCACATCTCCACAGGCTGCCGTTATTTAACGCACTTTATTTCTGCTACAGACATGTGGTACGTCTGCTACTGCTGAAGTCCACACAACTGCAGTGTTTCTGTCTTCTCCTGGTGCTGCTGATACTACACCACATTATGTTTTATTTTGCTGCTAAAACTGTACTCAAATAAAGTTAAAGTGCAATCATTCTGCAATACTGCAATACTGCAATACTGCAATACTACCATCTGTCCATCCATCCATTCATCCATTCATCCATCCACCATCCATCCATCCACCCATCCATCCATTCATCCATCCATCCATCCATTCATCCATTCATTCATTCATCCATCCATCCATCCATCCATTTTTTTGACTTACTGATACACAGTAAAATCACAGTGTGACTAAAAAAAAAAAAATTTACTCAAAAATCCGACCAATCTGGACTCCGGCATAAAGAACTTTTTCTCTGTGTCTGTTGTGCCACTGGGCAGAAAAATGTTTTACTTTTTTGCTTGAACAACTTGAAGACATTACCAGTTACCATATAAATATCATATGTATTAAAATAGGTCTAAAACACTATTCACTTCAAAATGATTTTTTTTTAATACTGAATGTAACAAAGAGAATAATAACAGAGAAGCCTGACCTCAGTCTGTTTCTGCTAAAGGAGAACTCATCTCTTAATCATTTATTATTCATCTTGTCATAAAAGATATGATGGTGTTTATTGTCGAGGTTCAGTCATTACTTCCTGTAGTTACACAGATGCATCCTATATGCACAGCAGTGACTTAAAAAAAATCAAGTGATAAAAACTTCAGTATAAACTCCAAATATTTTACTTTTTAGCTTTTATTGTTGTGCACAGCTGCCCTCTGCTCCGTGCCCCACTCAGGGTCACCGCTGCTGCCCTTCAGTAGAACCTATCAGGCGCTCTCTGACGCAGATCCGTTTCCTGTCCAAGTGAGATTTTTATTGTTCCAACGGTGCACGCTTCACAATCTCAGTCCCCCAGCCTTTTCCTGCTTCCTCTCAGAGAGGAAGTGCTGCAATGCCTGTTTTTTTTTTTCTTTTTTCTCCCACATCTTCAGTGGGGCAAATCTGGAACACGGACTGCGAAACTTTGCTGGTGTCAGCCAAGTCCTGATTTCAAAGAATACAAGTTCCTCAAAAAGAGGAAAAGACAAACACACACACCTACACACACTCACACACACACACACACACACGTTGGTTATTGTCTTTTGAGGGAACTTCAACTGGATATGATACACTCCTTAACCTCGCAAATATATATTTAATGTTACTCTAATGTGACCCTAATTCTAATCCGATCTCTTAAATAAAAGGCCCTGAAAAATGTCCCCACGACATTAGTATTTTTCCATGATTATAGATACACGTGGAACACACACACACACACGCCTGCACACACCCTCAGCAGCAGTCAAAACTCAGACATATTCGAATGCGCTACCTTCTACGTGATCAACCTCGAAGGCGTGTGTTGACTTCTGTTCACCTGAATCCCCTGAGGTGAAGTTTTCCCATGGTTCCTCAGCACGTAGTGACCACAACAATAGCTCTGTGTCTGCAGGAAGCATCAGATAACCAGCCATTATGACCTGCAGCCTTGGATAAAAACGATACAAAGAGAAAATTAAAAGTCCAACCGCG